TAAATAGTCCTTGTCTCCCTTTGTCTTGTGCCAGTTGGTCTTGTTTCAGTGTGCTTCTATGTCCAGAGACCCAGTGTTAAACCAGAGAGGAGAGTTACCTGAGAGGAGAGTTTTGTTTGTTTGAAATCAAGAAGTTTTGTTTTGTCCTCGCAAGAGTGATTTTTTGTTAAAACTTTGTTTTATTTTTTCTCATTAAAATATGACTCGTCGCATTTGAGTCCAGTATTTTTGTACCCCGTTCTAACACCCGAAGGGGAAATTCAGTTTCCCACTCTGTCTGTTGTACACATGCATTTTGTTGTTGTAATACATACAAATACAGGCATTTTTCTTACAAATACACACACAGTTATATATACAAACATGCACATGCACAATGAGAGGATCCAGAGTGGAGGCAGTCTAGCCAGTGAGCAGTTGGGGGTTAGGTGCCTTGCTCAATGGCACCTCAGCAGTGGCCCAGGAGGTGAACTGGCTCCTCTCCAGTTCAATCAGGAGAGACGTTGATGTATGAAATACATATTTATTACTGGGACACGTCATATAAATGAAATAATGATTGCCAGAATTAAGACAGGAGAATGGAATGGTGTTTGGCGATTAGGCCCCGGTTTGCAGGATAATCATTCAGGAGGGGAAGAACCGCTCCGAAGAAACCCCCCGGGGTCTAGACACTGGTGGTGGTGATAAGTAGGCGGGACCGGTCTGAAGGGAGAAGGTTTAGCTTGGCCCTGTAGGAGACGGGAGGCGAGACGGGTGGAGGAGGGTTGCGTATTGTCACCTGAAATGACAGCTGACAAGAGGGAAGAGCAGATTTAAAGGGATTAGCGGGTGCAACGATAGGCTTGTGAGAATGGAGAGAGGAGTGATTGGTTAGCTGGGGAGTGACGCCCCCGATCACTTAATGAGGGAGGAGAGGGTAAAGAAGTGACGTGTAATATGAATGGAGAGCTTGGTCTTCCTGCTTGAACTTGCGCTAAGCTTCATTACAAATCCACACTCCGTACTCCATGGTCCGATCGGGATGTAAACCGGCGACCCTTCGGTCCAAAGTCCTTGCCCCTACAGACTGAACCACTGCCGCCCATACAGAAGTCTGACTCAGTTAAGATAAATGTATAATAATTATTTTAATGGTTGATTGCAGTTATTACAAGTCATTCTGGGTAAAAGCATCAGCTAAATGAAATGTAATCTGATGTTATATGCAACTTCTACACAGTTTAGTTGAATACTCGATTCTGATTGGTCAATTTGGACATTTCAAGGGTTGTTAATTCTCGCTAATAGACCGCTGCTAAGGAGAACAGACTGTTTCTAAGGAGAATCAAGCGTCAATGTGCATTCATATCAATCCGCAACAAGAAGAAGGGTCAATTGAACGTCAGCTGTGATCAACAAATATACATTTTCGTCCATCAAAAAACTATGGTGGCCCTGAAGTGCAAGTCAAAACAACATTTCAGTAAACACTACAGCATTTCAGAAAACACTACAACATTTCAGAAAACACTACAACATTTCAGAAAACGCTACAGCATTTCAGAAAACACTACAGCATTTCACAAAACGCTACAGCATTTCAGAAAACGCTACAGCATTTAAACTTTTACGGAAAGGGTATTCCTTTAGGGAGAACACTTCTTCTTGTTTGTGATTGGATAGAGCCAGCCAGAGAAGCACTGCTGTGATTGGTTGTTTTTGCTGCCAATCAAGAAATTACGCTTCGTGATCGGTCAGCACCCGACAGCTCAACATGTCCCAACACACCAGCCATTAGCTGTTAGCACACAGAGCTAACAGCTCCTCATATCTGTTCAGAAACTGGACAAAAGTTAAATATGAACAAACCACAAATGGTCTATGTCATGGCGACTACAGTCACTGCTTTATATATGTCTGTATGCCGTTGCTGTGAGTGTGGACGGAGCAGCTACAGGTTGGTTTAGCCCAGTGGTTCTCAAAGTGGGGGGCGCAGAGGCATGACAGGGGGGGCGCGAGAGACCAGGAGGAGAAATGGTTATTAAAAAAATAAATACAAATAAAAATCATATTTTTAAAGATGATTGATTCGAAAATACGTCTGGGTCTCTGTGTTTCATTAAAGCTCCGTGTGTGTGTGGAACGAGCGAGAGATGATGTTAGCTTCTGGTGCTAGCGAGCTACGCTAACGGATATAAGGAGTTTTTTCAACAACACAGTGGAGGAGAGTGTTATCAGTGTTATCTCAGTGGGTCTCAAACGTTTTGGTCACCATTAATGTAAACAATTATTTCCGAGGCACACGTTTATATGATCATTATAGTTATAAAAAAATAAGAGAATAAATAAAAAACAGGTATGAAATACTATATGACATTAAAAAATGAATAAAGTTTAAAAGGGGAGTGATTTGTAAAATATCCATAAAGAAATAGTAAATCTGTTTACAATTCTGTGTTGAGAGATGTATCCATAGATCTCTTCATTTTGCTCTCAAAGTGCACCAGATTGATGCTTTTAACTTCAATATTTAAAAATCTTCCTGGGGGAGCTTGCCCCCGGACCCCCCTATGTGAGGTCCACACACCACCTGTAAAAATAGCACTTGACCCCTGCTTACACCTATATGCCGTGAGCTGATTATCGAGCCTTCATTGTAACTGTCACACTGTGTATATGCGTGGGGAGTGTTGCACATTCAACTGTAGCTCCCGGTACATTAATGGGAAACGCTAAATGTTTGAGCACCCTCTATGAAACGTCAAGCTACCCCACAGTACCCCCAAAATAAATCTCTGGCGCCGCCACTGAGCCTGACTATTTGTGTTGGGGGGGCCCGACTTTTTTTTTTCTCCAAGGGGGGGCCTGACAGAAAAAGTTTGAGAACCACTGGTTTAGCCTGATCGATCCGATCTCCATTCAGAAAACACGCATTTTAAAAGGTTTTTCGCCTGCCGTCTGTCTGCACACCTGTCACAGCATTAATTCATGGTTTTTACTCACCGGTATCAGTATGTACAGATGGAGCGCTCCATTTCAGACGCCTACCCGTGCGGGTCCGTGATCGGCACGGGGTGGGCCCCTGCTGAAAAGGAAAACCCCCCCGCAGGACTTGAAACGCCCCCTTGATAAATACATTTAATTATAATGAAACCAGCTGCAATGGATAATGGATCCACCAGGGGGAGCCGTGATTAAAAAGCTGCCACACTGGAACTCATGTGAAATAAACAGCTGATCTACAGGTATCTGATATAGCGGATATTTGTTAAGATCCATATGTCACGGATAGGATCATATTCTGTGCTAAATAAGAGACATGTAATCATTTACTAAACATCCCCATGTTTTTATTTAACAAAATAATGTTTAATTCACGTTGGCGTAAGTACAAAACCATCGCTATGTTTTTAGATTAGGAAATGCATCCAGGCTCAAACAAACGATTTTCAATCATCATCCTCACGATCATTTAATGTATCATATGTTCGCGAGTTGAAATTAATGCACTAATACATGTAGTTTAATCCACGTGAGTTTACAACAACAAAAATAATCGCTTTGTTTTTATATCACATCCGACCGGAGGAAAATGCAGCACGGGTCTCACTACCGATCACCCTAATCCCACGGGCAAACAATAATATGTAGGCTACAGTGTTAATAGTTTACTGTATTATTAGTGTCTAATATTACTGGGGATTTCGGAATGGTACTGGATTTTGATTTATTGTATCGGCTTCATATCGCAATATATTCCCGAAGTCTGAAATGCAAAAATGTCCCACATTAGGGCAATTCACCCTACATTTAATCATTCATACAAAATCATATTTCGTTTCTTTTGAACGAAATAAATGTGGTTTAATCCACATAATTTACTGTGTTAATTATTTTATGTAGTATTGTGCACATTACTTTTCACTGCTTGTTGCACCCCTGGTTAGAAGCTAAACTGCAATATGTGCAATAACAATAAAGTTGAATCTAATCTTGAGCAGGAACAAATGTATTTAGGCTACTTAGTACATATCTGACATAAACGATTAAACACATTTGTGCATTCTTTAAACCGAGTCAAGCCGAGTCCGGAGGTGGCGGCACATTAAAGTGTGCACCTGATTGTTTAACTTGATCTTAATCTTTCAAACAAAATCATATTTCGTTTATTTTTAACGAAATAAATGTGGTTTAATCCACATAATTTAGGCCTACTGTGTTAATTGTTTAGTATTGTTTAACCCTCTGGAGTCTAAGGGTATTTTCTCGATTTTTAGATGTTTTCTTAAATCACCTTTTAAATGTATTTCTTCTAACATGGCACCCATGTGTTACATATCAAAATGTTCAGGACAATCTCTAGTATTGCTATATATGTAAATTACTCACCTTAGAGCACTGTTTGATGAGATAAGTAGCTCAAAAGCTTAAAATTTGACATCCGATTTTCGGAAAATCTTCAAAACTCTTGTGAAAACACAAATTTACTCATGTGATCGAATTGTTTTGGTGTTTTAGATTTGGTTACCAAAGTCTTAGGATTACAAAAGTAGTGAAATATTTGAATTACACTGTATATAAATGTGTTATTCATGTCTAAAATGAAATTTTATAAATTCGCATTCTGAGTAAAACAGCTGTCAATCACTCTACTTTCACCACAGCAGGGACTGAGATATATCAGGACTGAATAATGACTTCATATTACATAACAAGGTTCAAGTGATGTGTAAAAAAAAAAAGAATTGAGCATTAGAACTTTTTTTTTCAACCAACAATTTATTATAATACCAACAATGTATATAAATATAACTGCAAAATCTCACTATTTACAATATTGAACATCAGAACTTTTTTTCCTTCAACCAACTATTCATTATACATACAAATAAAAACAGCAAATACACACTTGTTACAATATTGAACACCAGAGCTTTTTTTCAACTATTTGTAAAAAACACTTTCACTCACCACTCGACCCAACCATGGATAAGCGGTAGAAGATGATGGACTTTCACTCAGATTAAGTCCTCATGCCATGCCTCAAAGCAGTTGCGTTCCAGTGAGACACACAGGGCAACATCACACTGCTTGCACTTCCAAGGTGTGTCCTTTCTCTTGCCTTGGAAGTAGCAATGTTCGCATTTCCTGCGACCTGTGGTGGCCCTGTCGCTTGCTGCCTGGACATCAGCAATGGGCACAGGAAGATGAGCTGCAGGTGCCCGGACAGGAGGTGTATGGACAGGCTTGCCACAGAGCTCAGCACTCAGCTCCTCCATGAATGCTCTGTGTGTCATGGGCTTCTTCTGTTGTGACAGACAGACTTCTTTGTACATAATGTAGCTGTTTGTAGTGGCAATGTCCAGGAAATGATAAAACAGGCTCCTGTACCAGCGCATGGTCTTGTGCTTTGAAGAGTAGTACTGTATGAGCTGATCTGACAGATCAACTCCACCCATGTGTGCGTTGTACTCAGCAACAGGTGTGGGACAGGGGGTCTCTACTCGGATCCAGGAGCCATCTCTCTGCTTCTGCCTTCTCTGCACGGTGTTGCCAGAGTATGCTTCATGGATGGTGGAGCAGACAGCTACGTCCCTGTTGTCCATCCACTTCACAAATACCAGTGGGCCCTCCCTGATCCGTCTTATGGAGCCTCTTTTGGATTTTTTTGTCAGGGCGTTAGTCTGTGGCCTTGGGCAGTCCTTGCGGTTCTCTCTGTAGGTCCCACAGGCAGCGAACTTTAGGGCATGGAGAGCCTTGAACAGCTTCGGGCTGGTGTAAAAATTATCCATGTAAATATGGTAACCTGTTCCGAGGTAACCTGCCTGCACCAGAGACATTACCACATCATACGACAGGCCATGTCCGGAGAGGATGTCGCTTTTACCAGTGTAAACAGAAAATTCTATTGTGTAGCCATTCCTCGAATCAGCTATGACGAACAGCTTGAATCCCCACTTGGTTGGTTTGGCCTTCATGTACTGGGTCATTCCAGTCTTAGCCTTGGATGCAACCATCCTCTCATCCACAGCCAGGTATTTATGGGGATGGTAAAAGGCCTTACACGCAGTCTTGATGGTGTCCATGAGGGGTCTCAATCTGAACAGTCGGTCATGGTGGGGTGTGCCCTTTTTGCTGTCGTTCTGGAAATCCTCATCAGGGTCGCTGAGATGCAAGTTCCAGGATATTGTCCTGTATCTGTCACGTGACATGACCTGTGCTGGCAGAGGCACTGACACAAAATGATCCTTCCTCCAGTAGTCCAATACATTGTCCAGTTTCAGCAGGGCCATGTACAGTAGTTACTTCGGCATCATTTTGAAATGTGTATTACAATTAAATCACAGTAAAAATATGTTCATTTTGTTGTAGTTGGTATCTATCATAGTATTTGCATGGATATAAGCCCCGCCACCTCTCCAGCACGTCTTGTTTGAATGACAGGAGTAAACACAGCTGACAGCCGCGGTGAAACTCGAGCGATTAGAGCGATGCGAATATTCGGGGCTTATCGCCATGTAAATACTATGGTAGACTACAACAAAATGAACATATATTTACCGTGATTTAATTGTAATACACATTTCAAAATGTTGCCGAAGTAAAAAAATACTGACACCGGTAGGTAAAAACCATGAAATGTGTGTTTTCTGAATGGAGATCGGATCGATCAGGCTAAACTAACCTGTAGCTGCTCCGTCCACATTCACACCAACGTCCTAAAGACAGAAATAAAGCAGCGACTGTATTCGCCATGACATAGACAGTCTGTGGTTTGTTCATGTTTAACTTTTGTCCAGTTCCTGAACAGATATGAGGAGCTGTGAGCTCTGTGTGCTAAAGGCTGATGTTTTGGTACATGTTGAGCTGGCTCTGTCCAATCACAAACAAGAATCTTCTCCCTAAAGGAATACCCTTTCCGTAAAAGTTGAAATGTTGAAGTGTTTTCTGAAAGGCTTTAGTGTTTTCTGCTGTGGCGTTTTCTGAAATGTTGTTTTGATTTGCACTTCAAGGCCACCATAGAAACACCATGGTATCCTTTTGAATATGATTGATAAACTGTCCCCAGTAAAGAAAAGAAAATGCAAGAGAAGTTAAGAGGTTAAAAGTCAGCGAAATCAGCAGAACAAATCAGACAGGAAGTACAATCTAACAGGAACACAGTCTGTGCTCTGCAGTGTTTAAAGACTGGTTGATGGAAAATAAAATGGACAGACTTGGACAGTTGCTGCCGTTTCAGCCATTGGTACGCAGTGGAATGGACTATTTTTAAATACAATTAAATCATTTTAATATATAAAATATTGTGATTCAAGTTGTTGGAGGACTGTGTTATTTTGTAATTAATGACCGCCTCGTTGGCCATTATCCCTTACTTGTTACAGTTTTGAAGGATCGGCACCCCTCTAAAAATCAAATCAAATACCATAACAAGTCCAAAACCAACAATGTGATAGTTCATCTCTCAATACTCTCTGACTTCACCAAACAAACAACTTTATAAAACAGGTCACATATATATAACTTCACATTGAAAAAGGCTCAGTAAATCTAGACACTGCAGTTTCTTTGCAAATGTTACTGAAACAGAGGGAAATAGGGCATTTGATTGGCAGTATTTTTAGCAGCAGATTATTACCCATAGTGCTCTATACTGAGTATTTCTGGCAGCATGGCTGTAAATGTGGGATTGAGTCAAAATAAACCACATTGAGACAGAGACTGAAAAATAATTCAAGGTACGGTAGTTTGACGTTGAGGCCATTAGATTATCTTTTGGACAGACATTACACTCTTAACTGAGAAATCTGGTCCTTCAAATACAATCTTCCAAAATAAATGTTTTTAAGGTCCTACTTTACATTTGAAAGGGGGTGAGGCCTATGGACACATGGCCTTTTCTACTTCAATGCAAGCTAGTAGAAAGAGATGAGGATGTGTTGTCTATTACTTTAGATCAGTGGTTTTCAAAGTGGGGGGCGCAGAGGCATGACAGGAGGGGCGCGAGAGACCAGGAGGAAAAATGGTTATTAAAAAATCCTAATTTCAAATATTATTGATTCGAAAATAATATGATACAGTACTATTACGTCTGGGTCTCTGTGTTTCATTAAAGCTCGGCTCTGTGTGTGTGTGGAACGAGCCATTTTGTGTGCGTGCGTGAGCGAGAGAGAGAGAGCGCACCGGTACCGGAGATCGTTGTTGTTAGCTTCTGGTGAGCTACGCTAACGGATATAAGGAGTTTTTTCAACAACAAAGTGGAGGAGAGTCCTCTCCTGTCAGACTGAGGGACTCAGTGACCTAAGATAGTTAACTTTAGTCTAAGTTATCTCAGTGGGTCTCAAACGTTTTGATGTAAACAATTATTTCCGAGGCACACGTTTATATGATCATTATAGTTATAAAAAAATAAGAGAATAAATGAAAAACAGGTATGAAATACTATATGGCAGTAAAAAAAGAATAAAGTTTAAAAGGGTGATTTGTAAAATATCCATAAAGAGAGGTATCCATAGATCTCTTCATTTTGCTCTCAAAGTGCACCAGATTGATGCATTTAACTTCAATATTTAAAAATAAATCTTCCCGGGGGAGCTTGCCCCCGGACCCCCCTATGTGAGGTCCACTCCCCACTTATAAAAATAGAACTTTACCCCTGCTTACACCTATATGCCGTGAGCTGATTATCGAGCCTTCATTGTAACAGTCGCGGGTACACTGTGTATTTGCGTGGGGAATGTTGCAGTAGAAAATTCCACTGTAGCGCCCGGTACATTAATGGGAAACCCTAAATGTTTGAGCACCCTCTATGAAACGTCAAGCTACCCCACAGCACCCCCAAAATAAATCTCTGGCGCCGCCACTGAGCCTGACTATTTGTGTTGGGGGGGCCCAACTTTTCTCCAAAGGGGGGGCCTGACAGAAAAAGTTTGAGAACCACTGCTTTAGATGAAACATGCAGTATGTGCTTAATGAGTTTATTTACCTATGAGCTTGTGACAGAGGCGGCAGGCCTACAGACAAACATTAAGTAAACCATAAAAAATCAAGCCTTTGTTTAGTTTACACCAAAACAAAAACTTTTAGAAATGCTGTGCTGTTTATAAGGTGAAGGCCAGTTTTGGAAGAATTTTAAAATGCTTTACCAGAATAAATAGCACTCTGTCGAAGCGTTTTCTCTCAGCAGTAAAGTGGTTGTAAATCTGCCTGCCACCATGGAAGAATTTATCACAGCACAACAAGGTGATATCAACCTTTAAAATGTCAAATCACTGTTCTTATCCAGGAGGAGGCCAAGGAGAAGAAAAAGAGCTACGTTCATGATGATGGCCCGTCGCTGGATGTCTCACAGGATGTGGACTGGAGTGTGACTGACCAGGTTGTTGTTCCTCCAGCCTCTGCTGTCCTTACCTCATGAATATTCTTGGTCAGAACACATGGGGCTCACTAAAACCTGTGACGGAGTCATTAAACATTTCTTCCGGCCGGGAACTCAAATCTATTGTTGTTCTCCATTCTGGTACCTGCCATGTGTGTCAAGTTGTTGGCAAACCAAATTTAGTGATTTACCTCTGCTCCTATCTGCCTCATTCCAGTAATGACAGGGCCATTTGAAAGAGCGATTGTGTGTGACGGTGCCCTGGCAAAATGATAGAGGAAGGGAAGGAGAATGCCTGTCGAATTTGAAGCAATGGCAAGCTTATGCAAGCAGTGTACATACGGTGAGTCAGACTATTAAAACGCCAACAGCTAGGAAAGAAAAATGTCGGATATTAGTTTGACTTGGCCTTGTAAGAAAGTCTACACCCTGTTATTTATTAAAAGTTTTCATAACTGATTTGACAAAAAATGAACCATTGAACTCTTAAAAAAACAGAATTTGATTGGCCTTTTTGTATCAGAAGTCCACATCGTCAAACGCCTATCTGGAGTCGAGAGGTGGTGGAGCCAGTTCCAGAAGCGGGCCCCAAACCTCCCTTTCCCTGGTCCCAGGTCAGCCTGGAGATCTGATCTCTCCACCTGGTCCTGGGTCTGCCCCTCGGTCTCCCAATCTCGTTCTTTCGGTCATGACCCATCCTATATGACCAAAGGTGAGAGAAGGAACAAAGACAGACCAGTACATCGGGATCCCTAACAAATTTAAAGCATCCAGAAGCTCCAGTACATTCAAAACAGCGCTGCTAGGATCCTGATGAGGGTGCGCAAATACGATCATCTCACCCCCATCCTTAAAACTACACTGGCTCCCCGTAGAACTGAGGATTGAATACAAGGTCTCCGTCCTCACCCACCAGTGTATCCATGAAACTGCCCCCCACCCCTACCTCAAGGAAGTCCTCACCCCCATACCTCCTTGCGGACCTCTCGCTCCAGCAATACCAACCTCCTCAAAACCCCAGGACCAAGCTCCGTACTATGGGAGACTGGGCCTTCTGCTCGGCTGCTCCCAGTCTATGGAATGCTCTCCTGAGCACATGAGAGCTCCACATTCTGTGGAGGCTTTTAAAAAAGGCCTCAAAACTCATCTGTCCAATAGAGCCTTTTCCTAGACCTTTTATCTTATTTATTACTACCCTTTTCTTTATTTATTTTTCGGGATCTGAACTCAGATATGAAATGCGTTATAAATTAAACCCATTATTATTATTGTTTAGATAAAGAGCTGTTCCTTCTGGCTCAGCTCTCTCTTCATAAGTTAACTATAGTTTGGTAAAGCAACTGCAATACCTCTCCAGCTGCTCCAATTCCCTAGCCCATCTCACGCTACATTGTCCCCTCACTCAGGAACAACACCCTGAGATACTTGAACTCCTTCACTTAGGGTAAGGACTCAATCCCTACTGGGAGTAGTATCCATTGAGTCCAATGAATGTTGGAGGTCTTAGAGTCTAGACCGATGACAAAATGAACCAGTTATGTTCATTTCTCCAGTCTTCCAATACATATCTGAATGAGCAGCTGCAAGAAATACTATTTCAGTAGAGCCTCCTACTACTTACCATGGCCAGCTCCCAAACATCGCTTCTGCCAACTTAAGAATTACATGCATATAGGGTTGGGTACCGAGAACCGGTTCCGGTTCGGAACCGGTTCCAACATTTCGATTCCAACGGCATCATTTAGACATGTGAATTACGGTTCCGCTTTTCGATGCCTGAGGAAATGTTTCTCGCCGCTCTCCGTAGCCTACTGTATGACTGCGGCGGGGCGGGAAATGTAGCGTTGTACCTGTCACTACCCGATCTGCAGTGCGCATGTGCGAGATGGTCCGCCATATTGGACAACTCCGGAC